TCATCTACTTATATGTAACTATATGTGTTGCAGTTGGTGACTTGAACCACTTGATCTCTGCAACCATGAGTGGAGTCACTTGTTGTCTCAGGTTTCCCGGTCAACTCAATTCCGACCTCCGAAAGCTTGCTGTGAACCTGATTCCCTTCCCTCGTCTTCATTTTTTCATGGTCGGGTTCGCTCCTCTGACCTCCCGCGGTTCCCAGCAGTACCGTGCTCTGACTGTCCCCGAATTGACTCAACAAATGTGGGATGCAAAGAATATGATGTGCGCTGCTGACCCAAGGCACGGTCGCTACCTCACTGCATCCGCAATGTTCAGAGGCAAGATGAGCACTAAGGAAGTCGACGAGCAAATGATCAATGTCCAAAACAAGAACTCATCCTACTTCGTGGAGTGGATTCCAAACAACGTGAAATCCAGCGTCTGTGACATTCCGCCTAGAGGGCTGTCGATGGCATCCACCTTCGTAGGAAACTCGACCTCTATCCAGGAAATGTTCAGGAGAGTGAGCGAACAATTCACGGCTATGTTCAGGAGGAAGGCTTTCTTGCATTGGTACACCGGTGAAGGCATGGACGAGATGGAGTTCACCGAGGCCGAGAGCAACATGAACGACCTCGTGTCCGAGTATCAGCAATACCAGGATGCCACAGCTGACGAGGAAGGTGACTACGAGGACGAGGAAGAGGAGGACGAAGATCAAATGTGAAGAGGCGAATACTTGAACGAAGCTGTTGGTAATGTAACATACGGTATGTGATTTTTCGAGCTTGTGTTTGGTATTGCATGTAATGAGTAATGATCGCTTTTCACTTTCCTGAGTTTGCCTTTGTTTCTGCTTGTGAGTTATGTACGAGTACTGGATGAGTGAAATATTTTGATAGTAATGACGTACCTATGTTTGCAATTACATTGGCGTCTACATTTGGTATTAAACTTCAGTGCCCCTGTAGTGCGACGATCGGTGTCAATGAGAAAACTGTCAATAATTGCATTAAATGTCACATATCGCTGCTAATAAAACTCATGCTAGTGCACTCTGATAAGGATCTTTACATCTCCAGTAAAATTATAAGTTTTACTTTTTTTTAAAGATTTTTAGACGAAAGGAATCAAATGTTGATATTAACGACATGAAATAAGAAGATATTTAATAGAAAAATAATTAATCTCACCATTTGATTTTTCTTCATCTAATGGTTCTAAAATAATAAAACTCTTAATTTTACATAGTGTATAAGTAGATTCTAATTATATATATATATGTGGATCCTAATTATACAAATGATTATGATACACTTATATGGTGGAAAACTCTTTTAGTTTTACACATTTTTAGAATTATTGGATTGAAAGAAATCAAATGTTTAAATTAACTACTCATTTTTTTAATAAATATTTTTCATTTTCTATTGTTAATCTCAACATTTATTTTCTTTCGCCCAGTGATCCTAAAAAGATATAAAACTAAAATCATTTTAAATAATATATTTGGATCGTCCCATATATATATGGGTTAAGATCAACTTACATTGCATAAAATTCTTTTAGTTTTACACTTTGTTAAGATCGTTGAATTAAAATAAAAGAAAAAATATGATATTAATTTTTTTCAAATGCATATCTTTTCAATTTTTATTGTAAATATCATCTTTTAATTTCTCTCATCTAATAATTCTGAAAATATATAAAATTAAAAGAATTTTACACAATATAATTGAATCATACCCATAGAGATAGATCAACTAAATCTTTAACATAAAAAAGTCAGTTCTCTACCAGCTTTCTTTGGATCCAAAAACCTGCTCGATGATAATGATTTGTTTTTCCTCTTTATGGCATCTCGTTCCATTGCCCTTAAGGGAAAAACCATTGTTGAAGTTGAAAAAAATAGAAAGAAAAAGCCATTGTTGGACTTGAAAAAGGAGGTTCAAAAAGAAAGAAGGAATAGTTTAGGGGAGTCAAACGATCGATTTCGTGTGGGAAATTAGTCGGTTAACATATCACCTCAATATTCTATCATTATTAATAGGTGTAAGTATCACCTTTATTCTTATAATAGATTCAATTTATTATTTTTTCTTATGTCGTATTTTCACATTAATTTAGTCTTCAAAGTTTAATTAATCATTATATACCATTTCATTAACTTAAAACCTTAAATTCTAAATTCTAAATTAAGTTTAGAGTCCATGATTTATGATTTATGAGGTTATTGTTTAGGGTTTAAAGTTTATAATTTAAGATTTTAAGTTAGGGGTAGAGTATGAAGTGATGCAATTGAGCAATTTCGAGGGTTAAATTGATGTGAAAATATGATAGAGACGAAAATGATAAATTAGATATACTACATGACAAAAGTTACCCTTTTACCTTCTTAATAATAATGGTTCGTGAGTGATTGATTTATTATAAATTAATAATATTAATGATTAATTTCTTATTTTTAAAACTTTAATGGAGAAAAACAAAAAAATACTCGAACGTTAGTGATTATTTATGTAATTTACTATTTTAAAATTGGCAATAAAATAAATAAGCATAAGAAAACAAAATAATTGAAGGGATAAAAAATGTGCAAAGAAAAAAGAAAGCCACGTGTACACGACATGCATTATCCTCTTCTTTATTTTACGGTGTGCAGACGCGTGGGATCCACACGCCACTATCTCAATTTGATGACCGCGAGTGAGAATAGTCAAGAGCGGCTACGTTTCGGTGACGTGATATATTACGTCATTTTCCATTCGAACGCAGTCAACGGTAAAATTGGCACCCGCCAAAATTGAGTAGCAAAAATTCCTTTTTATTATTAATAATTTTAAACATAAAATAAATAAATTCAAATATTTACATTAAAAATAAATAAATAAATTTAAATATATATAATTTTCCGTGACATAAATTATACAATGTATAAAAAATAAATAATATATTAGGCTAAATTAAACCAAATTTAAACCTTGAATATTGAGAATTCATCTCATATTTTAATGTAATTTAAGCTTTTATTCATTCTTATTTTTGACATAATTAAAGTTAACAAATTAAGGTTGGATTATTATTTTAATTCTTTATATTTTTCCGAGAAAAAAATATATAAATCTATCTGTTTTAATGATACATTGTCTATTTAGAATTTATCAAGATTTGAACTTTACGATATAAAATTTATAATTTTAAATTTTAAAATTCATAATTAAATATAAAATTTATTTTGGTGGCGGCTTTTTCCCATTGTCATTTATGTTTTCTTCTTTTATTTTCTAGTCGATAGTTGTTTGATTTTATTAAATTTAAGTTATATTTTATTGTATTTTCAATGGTGTTTTCTCTTTGCCCTATCTAAGTTAAAAGGTATAATGACCACCGGTGTTTTCAAACTTTCGTTGTAGGTTTATTCTCTTGGTCTTGTTCTTGGTTTATGGTTCTACAGGTTCTCTTGGTTGATTGCTTTTCTTATGCGTGGTTATTTGCGTATGACTTTTTGTTAACTTCAAGATATATGTGTCAAATGAGATTATGGTTAAGGAATGATTGATTTTTCATTCGTTCACTTTGGATATTTTTCAAGTCTTCATCCTCTATGTCTGGTGCTAAGAGATGTTAGAGTGATTTGTCTCTGTATGTCGTTATCTTAACTATTCACGCTCATCAGACTATTAAATATCAAATGAACATTTAAATTTAAACAAATAACTCTATTAAAAATTAATTGAACTTGATAAAAATTAACAAAAAAATATTTAATTTTCAAATTTAAGTTCATCCTTAAAACCCTATTCTAAAATTTAAGTTCAAATATATTATTTTTAAAAAAATCATTAAATAATTGGTAAAATAAAATTGCAAACCCCAATGGGAATATTCTATTGCAAGGAAAATTCTTTTTTTCTTTTCTTGGGAGAATATTTCATAGATAAGAATAAAATAAATTCAATAGACAAAGACATTGCATCGGTTCATGATACCGAGATGCTAAGCGTTGGCATCCTTCTATAATTTTCTTTTGCCATTACCTAAAAACAAGAATATATATATATATATATATATATATATATATATATATTAATTTTTTACATATTTAATACCTAAACTATCAATTTTGATCTATTTTAATATTTAAATTTTTCATATTTTTCAAAATCATATTTAAACTTTAATTTTTATTTCATTTTAGTATCTCACCGTTAAAAATTTTAGTTTTTATTTCATTTTAATACGTTTAAAATTTAACATTAAGTTTTGAAAATATCGAAAGTTAAGTATTAAAATGAGGGGGAAAATAATAATTTAGGTACTACACGTGCTAAAATTTTAACGGAGATACTAAAATAAAATAAAATAAAAACTTTAGATATAGATTTAAAAAAAATTAAAATTTTAAGTACTAAAACGGATCAAATTGATCATTTAGATGCTAAATGAGTAATTTACCCTTGTTATTGTATGCCAATGACGTAGAAATAAATTTATTTCTTAATATTATGTAAATCTATATCAAATAATTTCTATAATACAAATATATAATAAATAAATAATAAAGACAAATTCTTTGATGACGTTAAACAAATAAAATTAATCGTTGGATAAGTGAAAAAGAATGATTTTCGTATAGGTAAAAAACGAAAAAAATAGAATTATAAAAAAACGAAAAATGATATATTAATATATCTATAATTACGTCAAAATACAAAAAGGATGCATAGAAAATCAAAAGTTCTTATCATTACTAAAAGGGGAACCAAATCTTATCCTCGCCATTATTGGTGAATCTTTCTTCTTTTTGGGAAAAAAGGAGAAACCCTAAAACTCAACGAATCCCTAAACCTACAAATGAAAAAATTAACCCTAAAACTCGAGCCGTTTACTACGACATCGGTAACCAGTTCGACCGAGAGCTTTGAGGATATGGTATCATCATTTCATCAACAAGAAATCACTTATTACATGTAGAATCATGTGGGGTTATGAGGGGGAAAATGTGTGTTGATGAAGTCGATAAACAAAGATGGGTTAAAAACAAATTAGGGTTCTTGTTCTGTACACAGATTCAATGACATGCAGCCTCCAAATATGTGATTTTTACCCATCATCTATGTAGTTCCTATCTATGCATTGCAATAGAAAAGTATAAAAAGAAAGTCCCTATACCTTGAGAGTTTCAAAATCTACGATGAGAATCGACCGAAAGAAAGTTCGTTTCCGATTCTTCGGAATGTACCTCTCTGTTGCTCTGTTAACACGATCATGGATCAGTGAAAAGAATTCTCATTATTTGATTGCTGTGCTGTGTTGTGGTTCCCATTTGTGCTTTTATTGGTATTCTTACACCCGATTCGCAACAATGGAAGAAACTAGGAAGGCGCTATCTCCTTCCGTTCGCCCATTGTCGGATATGGTTACCATGTTTTGAATACGGATTTTTGTGGCCAGAACCTTGTTTCGGGATGTCACGCAACTCCATCACTTGTATCGTACGCTTCCTCTTGGCTGTTGGCATGCAAAACGTCAAGTTTTCAAATGGTTTTTTGAGTCGAATAATGGAGGATTCATATGGAATTTAGAGGGGAAGAGACGAACCATTATTAACTTGTTCATATCGCTCTTGTAGCTTCCTTTTAGTTGCCTCGAGCTTTTGCTCCTCGTCCAAAGCCTTGAGTTTCGGAATAAAGAAGAGCGGTGATCAGAAAAAAGTTATGAAGGCGCGTGACCGAATCACAAAGAGATCATTCACTTACATCTTGTTGATTACAGAGGGGCTTCTTGGGAACAGCCATCCTATCCTGTTTCTGCACCAAATTCGATTCTTCGTTGGCCTTTTGCTCGATATTATGTTTTGGAGGTCTACCGGACCCAATATTTGTGCTCGACAGCTTGTTATTAGGCTTTGCAACGGATTCTTGTATCTTCATTTGTAGCTTCTTATCATCCTTGGTGAGCAGATATGCTTCACCTGATGCCTGCGGTTTTTGTCTCGAAAAATTGCGGTCCTCCTCTGATGGTTTTCTACCAGTATTCCGATTCTTGGCGATTTCCCAGCTGTTTCCAGGATCTGAAATAACATTTCCCGATCCATAATCATCCATGCCATCGAAAAACTTCAGATAACGCATCACCAGTGACAAATGAGAAAAAGTAATTCCAATCAGTCCATGAGCACAACGGCAAGAAGTTCTTTAACAAAACAAACAAATACGTAAAGATTTAAAATGTCAGACCTGCGAGAGCTCCATCGATGTAGGTTGAGTAACAAAGAGAGCTCCCACATCTAAAGGAGGAGAAGGAAGCCCTTCTTCTTCTTCATCTTCGTAGTCTTGTACTTCTTCCTCTTTGCCAACAGATGGATTCATAGATTCCGGAGTAACCCCTTCATTCACAAATTCACGAATAAATGAAAAACCAAAAACGAGGCAATGTCGGTTTCCATGAATGGCTGAATACCAGTAAACTATTTCTTACCAGCAACAGCCTTAGTAGCACTAACCCACTCATCTACCAATTCCTTCCATCCACTGCAACCAATAAAACTGGGTGAAAAACGTGCATTCATGTTCCGGGGCAATATAAATAATAGACTGTACTGCCGGAAAAAAACACTATTAAATATACTTAGGTCAAGATAAAGCCACCGACCGGAACAACAATTAATGCTAACGGAAAACACGGATCAAGCAAAAGTCGATATGCTATGTAGTCAGAGCTAACAGTTTTTCACTTCAAAACCCTATCTACGATTGTTAATTATGAAGTCAAGTGCATTTAATACATGTTTATCACATAACATAATCAAACAGTTCCCCGCAGCAACTAATTCTAACTGAAAAGACGAAATGAGCAAAAGTCGATATGCCATTTACTCGGAGCAAACAGTTCACACTTTAACAAGTAATCTGTCAATTATGAAGCAGAGCACATAAAAAACATGTGACACATATCATGTTTATCACATAACATAATCAAGCATTCAACTTCATAGCAGCAAAGGAAACAAACTCATACTCAATGAGAGTTTGAGCAAGATTACGAATCTGCTTCGATGAATGCTTTTTGACACGATTAACGGCCTTTCCGATCCCAGTTGCCTGAAAATGGAAACAAATTACCTTGTTATCCAAGCATTACAATGGAAAAAACCTACTTGAAACAAGGGACAAGGTTTCGATAAAAGGACCTGAAGAATATCCACTGTCAAAGCCCTTAATTGAAGCTTCCTCAGGGATTCGAACAATACGGAATCCGGCTGCAATAAACATTAATAACAAGGTAAACTATCAATCGAAAACTATCATTTACACAAATTCCATAAAAGCTTTATGTTCAAAACACAAACCTCATCCAGAAAATTATGAAGAACCTCTTTGATCCTAAACACTTCACCAACGATCATAGCCTCTTCTTCGATTTCATCGGTCAAAGCCTCGGCTTCACCGTAGCTATAATTACTAGCAATTTGGTTAATCAAAGGGTCATCTCTGCTACTATTAACTTTGCTCTCTTTGCTACCACCTGCCTCAAATTCTTCATCAGCTCCACTTTTGAAGCTCATATGGCAGCCGGCGGCCCGAGCGTCATCGTCTACCTCTTCATAGTATGGTACAACTAACTCGACCCGATCGCAACCCGAACATGGAGTGAATTTGCAAGTGAAAAGCTTCTCAGCAATTCGATCTCTACGTAATCTAAACTCTTTAGGACAATCTAAAGCGGCTACCACAATAGCATGGTCGATTATATCGAATATGTCTGAGTTTGCTGTCCGAAAATAACCCCTCCATTGCTCTAATGGCCAACCTTTCATCGCCATTTTCACTTTTTTTTTCTTTCTTTTTGACGAAATCGAGATTGAAAATGAAAAAGGGGGTCAATCCAATTCAGATCAAATGAGGCAGATTCCAATTGTATTCATTTATTCTTCATATAGGATCAAAATCAAGCCCTCAAAAACGAAGCTTTTCAGAATGCGATGAAGAAAGGGGATGATCGGAACGGGAACAAAATCAGGGTTGTTTGTGTCTCATGCAGATTCCGGTAATAGACAAAAAAGAGAACAACTTTCCCGGAAAATCCCTTCAATTTTCTCGAGAAAAACAAACTAAATCTATAAAGAAACCTGAAGAAAAAAAAAACAAAAAGAAATCCGTCAGCAACCAAGACAAACGACAACTTAACACTTGGGATGATAAATGTTTCCCAGAATCAAAAAGGAAAATCTAGCATCGAAAAAAAAAACAAACAGAATAAAAAAGCAAATGTAAAACCCAACAATGAAATGAACTAAAAACGAGAAAAAACAAAACCCAGAAGCTTACCCGAAAACCAGAACTGAAAAAAAAACTGTAGCAAAAATAAGAAAATAATAAAAATGAGATATTTTATGGAGAGGGAAAAGGAAAGAATTTCGATCAACTGTTGTAGCCAATAGCTGTCAGCCTCTTTCAACAGACCACCAATTTCCTATATAAATCTTCTCTGGATGTTGTAGATATACCCGTATGGGTCGATCCAATACCCGACTCGTATCCATGGGTGTCCCAGACTATTTTTTTATTTTTTTAAATATTTTAGGTTATGGGTAATGTTTGACTTGATCGGTCGCAATAGGTTTCTTCATAGAAAGGAGATATAGAGAATTTCATTTTGAGAAAATAATTTCAGTGACTAAAAATTTTAAATAATATATGATTTTGACCAATTTTTTTAGATTTGTGAAAATGACCAACAAAATCGCAATGCGATCTCTAATTCGCATTGCGATCTCCACTATCGTAAATTCGCGTTGAAAATCGCGTTGCGATAGTTGAAAATCGCGTTGCAATTTTCCAGTTCGCGTTGCGATTTTCTAAATTCGTTGCGATTTTCTAAATTCGTTACGAAAATTCGTTGTGATAGTTAAAAAAAAAGATTTTGTTTCTTAAGAATTTTCTCTAAAAAGATAGTATCCGCGCGGACGTGTCGAAGACACGTATTACCACGACCACGACCCGACCCGACCCGACCCGACCCGACCCGACCCGACCCGACCCGAGACGAGACGGACGGCGGCGACGACGGCGCGCGAGAGTCCCCCTTGTTCTCTATCATTCAACAAGGAAGTGGGAAAGCCAAGCCTTAAATATCATTCCCAATAGTGTTTCTAATACTATGTGGGATTGAGCATTACCAACACTTGTTTCCAATACAATGTGATTATTCAGGAAACAATTAACAATCATGCACCTTAAAACAACTGAATCAGCAACCAATTGCATTAGTATTATACGATTAAATATATCATAATTAAAAGTCAATCTACAATCAATCGCGATTATTGCAATTTTAAGCAAAACATTCAAAAATAATATCACTATTTAAGGCTCAATCCCACATAGTATTGGGAACAAGTGTTGGTAATGCTCAAATCCCACATAGTATTGGAAACACTATTGGGAATGATATTTAAGGCTTGGTTTTTCCACTTCCTTGTTGAGTGATAGGGAACAAGGGGGACTCTCGCGCGCCGCCGCCGCCGTCTCGTCTCGGGTCTTGGTCGTGGTCGTGGTCGTGGTCGTGGTCGTGGTGGTCGTGGTAATACGTGTCTTCGACACGTCCACGCGGATACTATCTTTTTAGAGAAAATTCTTAAGCAACAAAATCTTTTTTTTTAACTATCACAACGAATTTTCGCAACGAATTTGGAAAATCGCAACGACAACTGACAACTGTAGACTATCGCAACGCGATTTTCAACTATCGCAACGCGAAATGCAACGCGAATTTGCGATAGTGAAGATCGCAATGCGAATTAGAGATCGCATTGTGATTTTGTTGGTCATTTTCGCAAATCCAAAAAAAATTGGTCAAAATCGTATATTATCTGGGATTTTTGATCACTGAGGTTATTTTCTCTTTCATTTTTTATAAACTTTTTCTCTTTCTTACTTTCTTTTTTTTGTCCTTTATAATAAAGACGTAATTTTTTTAACAAATTTATAATAAATTAGTTAAATTAAAGAAAAAAATTAAATTATATAAAAATTTATAATTTTCATATTGTAACACCCCTCAATCTATCTATAATAGCAATTAAAGATACACTGAGAGATCAGGTAGGGACAATCACTCCTCTAAAAATTTAAAAATATCGTATATTTTATATTTTTTTATATATTTTTTATTAAAAATTTACTGTCATCTCTTGAAATTTTAGTTCACCCCCTAACATAAAATCTTGTGTTATCCTAGATGGCAAGTGTTTATAGGTTAAACTCCAATGAGGTTTTAAGTACTTTCAACCATTTGATAATGAATGTACAATCACTCTTATAAATATTGTTGTTTAAACTTATGATCTTTAGAAACAACAACGATTCTTTCAACACTGAAGTAAGCTAAGTAGTTTTTAAACTTTTGGATTAAGGTTGAGTTTTATATTTTATAAATCATGACTTTCATGCATGTTCCAATCTTCTTTAATGATCTTTTCGATCAATGACTGGTCTATTAAGATTTTAAGCGGGTATGTGTTTATTTTAAAATTTGAACATATTTTAGAGACAATTATTTATTTTATTGACTGCATATATCCTGGAATTTTATTTGTGTCTTTCTCGTATAAAAGTTTTATGGAGTTAATATATATGTGTCTACTTTTAAAACTATTTGTAGATTTATTTGAAAATAATTCATATTTTGTTAATAATTTCGTCTAAATTAAAAATTTTTAGTTTACAATTAAAATTAGATAATCAGTCTTTTAATAGTTTAAGTGATTATAAGATAATATATATTCATTATTTTTCTTAATCATTGACACAACACACCATATAAACTGTAGATATTTGAACCTAGTATCTCAAGAGATAATGACACTCATTTTAACCATCGAAATATCTCAATAAATATAAATTAAATAATTTTTTTTACATATCATATTTGATATATTTTATAGTGAATTACTAGATTATTTGATTCACTAATCATATTTAATTTTAACTTTTTTTAAATGGATTTTTCAAAAAAAAGGTAAGTGATATGTTTGGCCATATGTATTTATTAGGCGTATATGTGGCGAAAAATATCATATATTCCTTAATTTATGCCGTTGGTAACAAGCAATATTTATAATAAAAAGTAATATTTCTAGGCTTTTTGACCAAAATATTACCTATCAAACACGCTTTCTTAATTATTTCCTGATCTAACACCTTTTTTCAGGAGAGAGAATGAGGCGCATGGCAGGAGATGTGCCTTAGCCGAGGAGAGGGAATGCGCGTCGCATGAAACTCGCCTTCCAACACACTTCCCTTGAATGGCACATCGTAGGGAACGTGCCTCTTATGGCCGATGGTTTTAGGTTTAAGGTTTTACGTTAAAATAATTTTAAGGTTTTGTATTTGGTTTTAGGTTTTTAGTGGTTTAGGGTGTTATATTTGTATGGTTTAAGGTTTTAAAGAAGTTTAGGGTTAACATTAATTGTACGTTAGAATGTTTCTATTTTTAAAGTAAGGTTTAGGGTTAAAGTTGATTATATGTTAGATTGTAAGAAATAAATGTTAAACATTTAATTGGAAAAATATATAGATATACGAAAGGGTCATCTTGTAAAATAAACAAGTTGAATCACATTAATTGAAACTAAAAGAAAATGAAAAAACATAAGTTGAAACATTATAAAATATAATTACATGAGTATTGGTAAACTGTTACGTGATGATGAAAGAGATAAATAGTCTCTCCTATTGTGGTCGGGGTTTTTACAATGGTCACATCTTAAGTTTTGTATTGATGTCTCTATACCACAATGAATTCGAGTGGATTTTGGACGATCTGACTCTTTTAATAAGTACGGATCTGGTATAACTGGAAGCCAAGTCTGAACCTCATTTGGGTCTTTGTCATTACATATAAAGGGAAACTCATATTCATATACCTTGAATACTTGTGAAAGTTGGTATATGGGATCCACATAAAGCTTATAGTCTTGACGAGAAAATGAACAAGTTGTTATGACATGGGAGCATGGATACTTCAAAGCTTAAAAAAACTCACACTTACAACATCTATCTCATAGATTAACTCTGAAAGAGTTAGATTCAATCCCTTGCAGAGATCGTGGCATTTCTGTGACCCGAAATAATTATTGGGTGTAAGAAAAGGTTATTATGAACATGTTGTTTGATGTTACAACCTTTTGCTGCAAGTCTACTACTAATCGTGGGTGATAAACATGACCGTTTTGTATCTATGTAAGAGTTTGTCCCTCGAGCTTGGTAAAAAGTTGACCTAAACGAAAATATATCATTTTAGCCAAAACAATTACTGGTAAATTATAGACCCCCTTTAAGGTTGAATTGATTAACTCAACCAAGTTGGTTGTCATATGTCCTTATCGATATCCACCATCATTTACATTTGTCCACTTTTCTTTGTTGATTTCACTGATGTAATTATATCTATATTCATCTTTTCCTCGTAATTTTTGAAGCATAACCTCAAATGATTGAGGTGAGAGTTCGTAACCTAAGCGAATGAAGTAGTTAGTATAAAAAAATGAAAATGAGTGAGAAATGAAAATGAGAAAAATGTAACATACATATGTGTATAATTAATTTTCATTCATCATTCTTCTTATATCTTCCATGATAGTTTACAGCAATATGTCGGATACAAAGATGATGTTGGATGTGTTGGGGTTTTCACATTGGACCCAAAGAGTTCATTGTTGCTTTGATCCTAACTCTTTGATCATAAATCATACAAATATGTTCCCTCATGATAACATGTAACCGTAGATTTCTCAAGAAAAAAGTCCAAGACTGTATTTTCTTTTTCAACAAGGGTAAAAGCAACGATAAGAATGTTGCGATTACTATCTTAGACAACTACAAATACTAAAACTTGCTTGTATTTTCCATACAAGAATGCACCATCAATTTGGAAAATGAGTTTACAATATTTCACTATATTAATGCATTGTGTGTAAGTCTAAAAAACACTGTGGAATTGACATTGATCTCGAAGAACTCGATCATTATGATAGGCATAGTGAGTTTCGAACTCAGCTACTGTCCCAGGATTCATTCATTGAAACAAGTTAAACCAACTAGGTAGTTCATTGTAA